TAGTACTTGTGAGCATGTATTTAGTGGTATGACTGAGGCCAGGATTCACACTGAACTAATCCCCAGTCCTTTTTTATTTTTTATTTTGAAACAGAGTCTCACTAAGTCACTGCCCAGGGTGGACTTGAGCTTGCTATCCTCCTGTCTCAAACTCTTGGAGTGCTGGAATTACAGGTGTGCACCATCACACCCAGCTGCCCTAGGGTTTTAAATTCTCGTCCATGCATTTTTAAAGTATCTCCTGATTCTGACAGTCAATTCAAATGAATTCTAATTCAATAGTTCTAGATTCTGGTGAGGACTTCAGTAAGAGAAAGGACACTCTCCATCCAAGGAACTACATTCTGCAGGAATCCCTATGTCCTCAAGAAACTTTCAGAACAGCAGGGAAATATTACAGCTCACAAGGGAGGCATTAAGTACTATGGTGGTGAAAAGGCTATGGTAACAGGAAATTTTCCAGATCTCCAGAACAGAATTAAAATTACTTTCAGTTGATGGGAAATGCTTATAGAGGAAACCTAATGAGCATTATAAGAAAATTGTATGAATTTGATGAATAAATAAACATTAAATTTAAAATAAGGACTAACTATATCTGGCCCCTCATTATATCCCTGGTACCTAGCTAGAACATATCAGAAGTTTAAAGTACTCAATGAATACTTGTGGTACTGATGTCTTTTCCCTTTTTGAGGTGATGGGGACTGAGCTCTGGGCCTTCTGCGGGCCAGGCCAGCACTGTACCACTAAGCTCCTCCCCAGACCTGTCCAGTTTATCCTGAATGACTGAATTATAGTACTCTGAAAAAAATGGCAGGATCCAGTTCAGGAAAATTGGGACAGACAGAGCAGATGTTTCCAAAGAGAAGAAATACACATTATGTTCACTGTTTGCTGTGACAAAATACCTAAAAAAAAAAAAAAAAAAAAACTTGCAGGAAGAAAGGTTTATTTTGGCTCATGATTTCAGAGCCTGCAATCTAGGGTGGACTAGTTCCTGTTGGGGCTTAACGCAAGGCAGGACATCATGGTGGAGGAACGTGGAGCGGAGGAGACCGATCATGGCAGCCAGTGTCAGAGAGAAGGAGTCAGAGCTCCAGTGTGTCCTCCGAGGGCAACACACTGACCTTCCTACCACCAGGCTCCAAGTCCTCCAAGTGCTAGAAAACAGGCCTTCAATACAGAAGCCTTGAGGGAACATTCTAGATGTAAACTGTCACACACAGCCATGAGCAAAACAGGAAAAGAAGAGAAGATGGAAGCAAAGAGCAGCCGGAGTTGACTAAAGCAAAATGTTCAAAGAAAAGGTCATGTTGGGAAGTTGAATTCTTTTGGCCTGAGGTGCAGCCCAGTGGCGGAGTGCTTCCCTGATAGGCACAGGCTTGGGCTTCAGCCAAGTGCTGAGAGTGAGGTGAGATCAAGGGGAGCTCCTCCGACAAGGCGGGAAGGGAGAAGAACAACGTAGGCGGATTCCTTATTTCAGACATCTAGCAGTGGGGATGATGGAAACGGGCAAAGGAGGAAGTGCTTGTGTCGGAGAGAATACTTTTGTAGGAAAGGTGAGAGATGGAACAGAGGAGGAGAAAGATGAAAGTGGGAAAGGAGACGGGATCAACGGGGAAGGAAATCCCGGGGCAAGTGAGGGCACAGGATAAAAACCACAGGGGTAGGAGGCCCAGCATTGGATGGACCCAGGCTCACCTTGACTTTGCTATGAGTTTTTTAATTTTGAAAAATCACTTATTTCTCTGGGTTTCTTCTCACATGTGTAAAATGGAGATAAAACTTAAAAGATTATGATGGTGAAAACACTTGTTAAGTATGCAGCATATACCAATATTTTATTTGGTATTTCTGAACTGTCCAATTCCAATCTCCCATAATAGTCAAGGCAAACTTTTAAGTTTGAGAGAGAGAGAGAGAGAGAGAAAGAGAGAGAGTGTGTATGTGCTTGTAATTCTACATTCATATCTATGTATAGAGTTACACTATTTTTTCAGGGCTGCCTTAAAAAACAACCATCAACTGGGTGGCTTAAAACAACAGAAATACTCTTTCATATTTCAGAGGCTAAAAATCCAAAATCAAGCGGGGCATGGTAGCACAGGACATGGCGTCAGTCCTAGGACCTGGGACACTGAGGCAGGAGGATCGTTCAAGGCCAGTCTGAACCACATAGCAAGACCCTGTCTCAAATCCGAAATTCAGGTGTGGCTGGGCTGACTCCTTCTGGGGACTCAGAAGCAAATCTGCCCCACACTTCTCCCTTACTTTCTCCTGTTGCTGGCAATCTTGGCATTTGTCACTTGGTTGTAGCATAACTGCAATTTCTGCCTCTGTCGTTTGGTGTTCTCCCTTCTCTGTACCCTTCTTTTCTTTTCTTTTCTTTTTTTGGTTTTTTGAGACAGGGTCTCACTACGTAGTTGAGACTGACTTGGAACTCACTATGTAGCCCGGGCTGGTCTCAAACTCACAGCGATCCTCCTGCCTCAGCCTCCTGAGTGCTGGGAGTACAGGCATGTGCCACCATGCCCGGCACCCTCCTTTTCTTGTAAGAACAGATAGCATATGTGACTTAGGACCCTCTCTACTGCAGTATGACCTCAATTTTAATGGATTACATCTCTAAAGGCCCTATGTTGAGTTTCAGATTGACACGAATTTTGAAAGGATGCTATCCAACCTAGTACAAGAAATAAATTACCAGCTTATTTTTAAAATAGCTTCAATAGGCTAGTTTTTAAATAACGGAAATTTGGATTTTAGCAAGGAAGATAATACAATGGTTGAGAGCTCAGGTTGTGGAATTTGAATCCTATCTATACCCCCTTCCCTAGCTGTTAGTTTACTCATCTGGTAAACAGGCAGAATATCTCAGAGTGGCTTGCAGTGGATTACTGGAAGTAATATATGAAACACACTTGGCATGGCACCAGGCCAGGAGGAACTCGTGGTACAACTGGGTAGAAGCTGAGGTTACTGTTCACAGAAACAAGGAAGATTCACCATTTGGATGCAGCTGTAGACTAACAGTACTATTTGCAGAGCCAGCTGCATTGTCCTAAGTTAACACTTTCCTGCCAAGATTTCTCCACACCAGTGATTTAACACTAACATGAATGATTTACCACTATCATGAACTCGAGTTCCACAGAGAGGCTGGATCGTCTGTCTCTCTGCCTCCCTGTTGGACATGTCAGTCCTTCCATCAACCCTACAATCATTTCATTATTCTCCTTTAAAGAGCAACTGTTTAAACGCCATCATCGTTTTTTATTCGTTTTGGGTTTTCTTGAGACAGAATCTTGCTATGTAGCCCAGGCTGGCTTGGAATTCAGCCTCCCAAGTGCTGGGATTAGAGTACACCACCACGCTTGGCTTCTTCTTTGATTTTTAAAGAATAATTAAAAATATATAAATCAGTATTTGCTATCTGAGGCAGGTCGTTATCCTGCTTATTCAAGAAGGCTACTAAACTTCACTGAAGTTACATTGCTAAAATCTATATTGCATCTGGTTGGTATGATTTAACAGTCAAATCTGTTCATTTGCAGTTTTCTAGTACACTGTACAAAAAAGGGGGGCAGGGCTTAAACTCTGAACAAAATCTTTGCCTTTCATAAAGTACTTTTATGTCACAAGTCTAAGTTCTTCTATTCAACAAAAAAATTTTTTTTTCTTTTTTTTGGTACTGGGAATTGAATTTAGGACCTTGCACTTGCCAGACAGGCACGGCACCAGAGCTAAATCACTAGCCCTCAAATTTTTTTTAACAAAGTGATGTATAAATATAAAAAAGTAGTACCTTTTAACACTATGTTTCTGGTCCCCAAACAGGCAAATATTATCAGAATTGTAAGAAAGTGACTTAATGAATTTCTGTATGCTACTGCCTTTTATAAACTGCATGCATAACTAGGCAGGTGAGGAATTTTACAGACTGACTTATACAATCAAGACAAATTGTGTATTAATTTTGAACCTTAGGAAGCCCAAGGTTGTGAACCAACCACCTGAATATAAAGAAGCCAAACGCAACAAAATTCCTGGCAGATCATAAGATGTTACACATGCTTTGGGCTTAGTATTTTGGCTCTACTTGTATATCAGGCTGTATTTCTACTATCTTTTTGGTTTACTTTATATTAAATAGAGTAAGTTCTATTTGTACCAGCTATCTTTTGCATATAAGGAAGCAAAAAGGAGCTTTTATTACATATGTACAAAAGAGTAGGATAGGTTGCTTTTGTTTCTTCTGAATTCACTACAAAATGAACTAAAAAGTGCTCTTTCCATCTCTAATTTCTGTGTGATGCCGGCCTGGTATTTTACTACACATAAATTTACGACAGAGCACAGATTTCATGAGTTTGTGGCGAGCCTAAACTTCCTTTTTAAAAAAATTTGGACATTTGTAGATGAAAATTATCTCCATTACTTTTTAAATTGCTCTTTAGAAAATAAAAATATAAACACTTTGCAGATTTCAGAACATTCTAAACTTAAGGCATCTTTAATGATAAAAACCCACACAAATTAAGCAATTTGGAAGTTTAGTGTAATTAGACATTGCTTTGTAGTTGGCTTGTAAAGATAAAACATTTCAGCACAAGGTCTGCACAAAGCGTCTGGGAATCTAAGTCAGAGATCAGAATTCCTTGAAGGGAACAAAAGAGACTTCCTGTCATTTCCATGCGTTTCTGCATGTGGCACCAATATGGGCAATGCAAAGTTTAAACGGATGCAAATGGTGAGGGGAGGAGAGACAGTCATGCTTGTTTTACATATCTTCCATAGCCAGAATTGAGTCCCTCTCCTCGGAGCTTCCCGAGTAGAAGTCCCAGTGAAATCGCTGCCTGCTTGAATGGTCCATTTCACTGATATTTGCTTATGGAAATAAAGGGGAGAGACAGGGGAGGGAGGACAGGAGTGGAGGAGGGGCTTGGGGCCGAGGGAGGCTCTGACCGAGGCACCGCACACCAGTAACCTTGTCCGATGTGATCATTAACCTCTCTGGAAAACGCAGCTGGCAGTTCTCGGAGTTTGTCATTAGGATGTGAGGACAGCCACACCGATACTGCACAGGCTAGTTACAGATTTTCTGGTTTACTTCGAGAGCTACTGCTCCACTCGTGTGTGGCAGAAAAATGAGATTTCGGCAAATTTTGTGTGCATTTTTAATTTTCATGATGAGTCTCCTCCTTATCAACGGACAGAGACCAGGTAGGACTTTGATACATTTGTACGGAGGAACTTGTTTTTCTGTCTGTTTATGTCCCTGCTCTGCTGAAAGTCACTTAAGTGTGCTTGCAGTTTGTGGTATTGGGGGTAAATGTGTAGGATTCTGGAGGCATGCTATCTATCCTATTGGGGGTACTGTTTGGGTTTTTTTAAGGACTATATTTTAAAATATCGATAAATATTTTACCCCTATTTTTCTAAATCCAAAGAAAATTGTTGATAGGTTGTTCTTACAAGTAAAATGGAATGGAAATGCTGGCCTCTTCTTTACAGAAGTTAATAAACAATGGATCTTAGGGTAAAATGCAACTCAAAGCAGTCTTATCAAAAGAGTATGCTGCTAGCTGGAGGAGGACAATGATAACTGAATTGAAAGCATGTAAAAGTCATAAAATGACAAAATGCAGATGATATCACAGAACAAGCCAATACTTGCCATTTCTAGTTATATATAGTGAGGTATGTCACTTAAAACAAAGAAGTGCAGTTTTTATTACTAGTGTACTTACAGAGAAAAATATGTTAAGATACATAATTAATTTACTCTTCATGGATAATATCAATTAGGTTGTATTTAACCAACAGGAATGTAGGAGACAATTATTCTAAGTGTATTTTTATTTCAAAGCCAAATAGGATTTGGCTTTAAGATTTCAAAGCGCTGGTAAGTAAAACTATGGGAAAGTTTAAAAGTTTCCTGACTCAAAAACTAAACTTTCAATAGGAAGGTGAGTGTACATCCAAGCATGTTAATAACATCATTCACTTGAGAACATACAGAAATTATCATTTCTGGTAATTACTGATTAAAACTTCAGACTCTGCCTTTAGTTCATTAGGTGTCTGGTTGCTCTGAGGTTATTTCATGGCCCCTAGTCTGTCCTTTTTCACAAATAAGAAAAAAGTTCTATGTCAGCAACTCAGAAGAAGCAATCTGAACCCTTCTTATTGTTTACAGTAATTGCTATTCAAACCATTACTACTTTTCAGAAACACAGAGCACTTCAGGTAATGTTCTCGTACAGTACTTGTGATTGCATAAAATGAAAAGCCTAAGAGAAGTTAAGAAGAAAATGTATAAAAAGAGAAAGATCTTACTGCCAGATCTCATTATTAGATATTAGGAATATATCTTGCATATCTGCATCATATTAATTTTGCTTTAACCACAATCACATATGAACAAATAGCAAATAACTACAGCACAGTTTGGCTGCAAATAGACTAACACTGTTAAATTCTCCAGGTTACTCAACAATTCACTTTGTGAGGCAGGCAGTGGAACCACTGAGCCAAATCCCTGGCCCAACAATTCACTTTTTTTAAATGTTGCTAATATTTCTTTCTTTTCTCCAGCTAATTTGGCCCTGAGAAGAAAGCTACACAGACACAACTGCTTTCAGCGGAGATGCCTGCCACTCCATTCCCGTGTGCCCTTCCCCTGAGGTATTTCTGACAGACAGTCCTTGTGCAGCATTTAATCAGCCTCACCAAAGAAGGCCTATTTGCATTTTGTAGTGCATGATAATGACTGTGGCGAAGTAATCGCAGCACTAATGACTGAAAGAGTAAAATGAGCTGACGCTTGGGAATTGTTTTTATAGTTAAAGAAGAAAATGGAATAAGCAAAATCCTGGTAATTCTCAAATCTGACTGATAGTTATATGGAAGCTAACACTATCTTATATGATTGCAAATTTTCATAATTAAAACAAATCAGGTATCATGGGAATTAAAAAATTATTTAAATTCGTGTTTTTAAAAACACTAAAGGCTCTATATGTTATCCAGAACAAGAACATTTCCCACTTAGACCACTGTGTCCTTGAAAGCATTTGGATGATTTAACCATTGACACCAGAACGACAGACTGGCCTCAGGAATTCCAAGATATATATTTTGTTATTGGGGATTGAACTCAGGACCTCACACTTGCTAGGCAGGTGCTGTGCCGCTGAGCTAAATTCCCAGCCTGTAGTGTAATATATAAAATAATCAGAACAACATGGCATCTTCCCAGCCTAATAGTAATGGTCTTGATGGCTGCATCTTGTTTTTTGCTTGTCTGTTTGCTTTTTGAGACAGGGTCTCTCTATGTAGTTCAGACTGGTCTTGAATTCACTATATAGCCCAGGCTGGGCTCAAACTCACAGCGACCATACAGAGTACTGGTACGACAGGCACAAGCCACCACAGCCCACCTTGATACTTACATTTATTTTTTTTATGGAACAAGTCTTTATTAAGTAACTTTTAATATCAGAAAAATAAAACTCATATAATTCTCTTTACAGAAAATATATCAGTGCTTTGGGCGTCTTAAGTTAAAGGCCCTTTATCATAAAATATATGGTTTTAAACTTTACTCAAATTGAATTTATAATCCCTATGACTGCCCTACATATATATATATATATATATATATATAGCAAGAGTACATAGTAAAATGAGCAAATACTAACCTATATTGATAATTTATCATCCTTAGTTTGCGGTATTTATTTATTTATTTATGGGATCAAACTTGGGACCTTACACTTGTGAGGCAGGCAGCAGAAAGACTGAACTAAATCCCAGGCCCCGTTTGTGATTTTTAGAAACAGTAAATGCACCTAATATATGTCAATTCCTCTGCTTATTTTGATGGTTACATTTTTTAAAATAAACTCTGAATGGAATTTTGCTCCTCCCTTTTTCATCTTTACTAAAATCAATACAAGGCCAATGATTTCATACCACCGCCATCTCCAGTCAGATGACTTGCAGCAGTTGGCTTCAAACAATGCCAAAGTTTAAGTCACTTCATAAAATTGACATTCCATTGTAATTATTTCAAGCTCCTTAGCTCATTTAAAATATATCTTCCTATAGGAAATTCTACAAAAATATCTTCAGCTAGTTAAAACACACAGACATTTGCTAGCTTAGCTTACTCAGTTGGCCTATGGACTGTGGCTTTTATGGCTACATTCATTCAGTGGAGAGAAAGGTCGCTATGCCCATTGTTTAACACATGCTTTTCAAACCCAGTGAAAGCCTTGTAGTAGGAAATTAAATAAAGGAAGAGCAGTTCAGTAATAAACATTTATCAGAGGTCTTAGACAAAATGCCAAATTCCCCATCTGTAACAAATTACTCTTTGCTATCAAAATATGGAGCCAGGGGTTAGCTCAGCGGTTCCACCGCCTGTCTCGCAAGTGCAAGGTCCCAAGTTCGATCCCCCATACCAAAAATAATAATAATAATAACAACAACAATAATAATAATAATAAGGAAAGTAGATTTGGTAGAGGACTGTAGAAAGACACAGTAGGAGGTCCCTGAGAAGCCACTTAATAGTGATTGAGATATGCTTTAAAAGGATTAATATGCTACCATATCCTTTCATATTGTGGATAATGTTCCCAGCAGAGCTTTTCAGTCTGACATAGGAAATAACAGTCAAATCTTTGCTCAGGAGGAATAAAGAAGTTCCACACTTTCCCAGCACTTCCACAAATAGCAAAGAGGAGAGGAGCATCTTACAATTCAAGAGAATTTCTCTGTAGATTGAGAAAGATACCTTGCAAAAAATATAAGTCTTTTTAGTTAGCCACAAGTTATCTTGGCCTTATCCACAAACTACCCCTCACCAAAATCAAGGCTGCAAGGAAACAAGAGAGAGTACAGAAATTTGATTTGTCAAAGTTAAGGGAAATTTTGATCTATGAACCAACTTTGTCAATCAAAGAGAAATTTAAATGAAAGCTATGTAAACTACTTAATAATAATAATCCTTTATCTAAGTTAGCTGTTACCTTTATATACCTGCTTGGATTACAGTACCCACTTTTTCAGAGTTTAGGCTAGTCTTACATCCACTACAGTTCTCTGAAGAATGTGTAAAAGTTACCTGTTGTAATCCAGTCATTATTATAAGAGCCTATATGAGATAAAAATTACGGTAAGTTCCCAAGGTCATCTTCAGCCAGGACGAATAACAAATACTACCTTCAAATTCGGTGATACAGTTCTCACTGTCCTAAATATTTTCCAACTTTCTGTATGTTTTGCAACAATGCCTCTTTAACAGTTGGGTAAAGGACTAGGTACTGGGCTCTAAGGCAAAAATCACCCTTTCATTCTCTTCCTCTGTTTTCTGCATGCTTTAGATAAAATCTCATGCCGGTTATTTGATTCAGTTAGGGTCAAGTAAGACTGTAAAAGGAGAGGTAAGGTAAACAATTGAGTTTGGAAGTTTTCCAAATTAACCCTTCAGAGTGGCTTAGCACTTTCGTGTATTTCACTGAATTCCCTATTATCTCTTTTCTGTTCATTTGTACCTCCTCAGTGATCCTCACTGTGATTTCCTAGCCTGTACAATTGAATCAATTAGGTAGCAAATGCATGCAGTTTACAGTGACTTCCTTAGATTTTTCAACTGAAATATGTTTTCATCATCTTGAACCCTATGTGAATCAGAGTGGAAGAGGGCAAAAGAAGAGATAACAGGACATACAAAATTATGGCTATTGTTGAAAGCAACAGAGTGAGAAATGTGGCGGGGACTTAAGATTACAGTGACTTCCCTCTTCCAACAATAACTACATCAGTGGATTTATGGATGTGCACTTGAGATAGCTCCATACCTTATTAACATATACTTTATTTAGCTTTCTAATAACAATTGTAACATGTGTTCATGGTGTAAAATTTATTTATGAAGTACAGACAAATGTAAACTCAAAAGCGAAAGTCCCCACCCTACCCTACTGCATATTCCCACTTCTCAGAGGAATGACTCATGAAGAGATGTTTGGCAAAAGTACCTTTTAATACATAATTTTTAATTACTGACCTGTCACTCTTACTTACCATTCCAATGTGCTTCCAGGTCCTGCCTTGTTCTTATCCTGCCTTATTCTTTCTTGCTCTGCCTGCCTCTCACCCTTTCAGCACTGTCCTTTTTCTCATTCATTCACTGTAGCTCTTGTCAGAGAGAAACCCAGCTCCATCTCAGCCGGAGGAGGAAGCTCTGCTTACTTTAGCACTTCAGCTGCAACCTTTGCCTTGCTCTGGGAAAGTACTCTTGCCACTTCCCAGGCACCTCTGATCCTCATCCGGGTGTACTTCAAACCTTTAATCACCTCGAGTTTCCTTACACTTTTAAAACCTCCTCTTCCAACTCACAGCAAGAGGGAACTGCTTTCTTTCTGGAAATAATGGGATCATCAAGCCACTCTGCCCCAGAGTGCTTGCTCTCTAGTGACGTTGTGTCCAAATTCCTTACCCCACAGGCAAATTCCCTCCAAGCGTGGCTGTTTGCTTCCCTCATTTCCCACACTCTGCTCCACTTTTCCTCCTGACAAAGCTCCCTGTTGACTCCTACTGAATCCAGCGAACACGATACTGTCCCCATTTCAGCTACCTCACCACAGGTCACCTGGTGGAGTGGGTTTTGGCTTCAGTCACACCATGCTCCCTCCTAACTCTCCCTAGGATAAATCACTATTCCTTTTAGGACTTGGACAGGGTAGCCTCATCCGACGTGAGGAATCCCCTCAAGCTCATGTCTGCAGTGCATGCGGGAATCTCCATCCTGGCCTGGGAGACTTCTTCTTGCACTGCAGTTTTTTGCAACAAGATTCTATGTGTCCTTAGGAAGGCACATGATTCTTTATATGAAATGGTTACATCACACCCTACCCAAGACCGCATTCTCCTCTTCCTGACCTGTTTTCTCCATGACACCTATTGCCACTGTGTTAATATGTTTCCCATCTGCCTCTCTCCTTGATATGGCAAGTTTTATGGGAACAGAGACTCTGGTTACAGTTACGTGCCGAGTGGTGAGCTCTCAAGGAATACAGAAGGAATGAATGAATGAATGAATGATCGAATACATGCCTGGAAGTGAAGTTTTTAATTCTTCCCTTTCAAATGTTTCTCTTACGTCCTCAGAACTTAAGGAATACCCATAAAACTACGGTGTATTAGATGTTTGCCACGTACTAGAGAATACATTACTGGCACACTTGAGGTAAATTTCTGAGCTCAGGGCTGTTGTTCACTCTCCCAGGCCTGTGGTGTCTACCGGAAATGGTTTTTGAATCTGCCCCTTTTCCTTCTCTACCTCCTCCTATCTCAGCGCCTGTCATCTCCCTCTAGTCTCACTTCAGCTTCCACTTTGGGTTCTGAAAACTGCATTTCTTTTTTCTTTCACCATCTGATCTTTCTGAACTGAACATTCAGTCACATCTTGATTAAAATCCTCCTCTCTTCCCTTAGTCTTTCACAATAAGAAGTCACAGAATTTGACAAATGGCTTACAAAATGTACCCTCTCATCTCCTCTGTCACCCCTTTCTTTCCCCTTTCCTCTTCAGAGAGATAAGACGTAAGACTGCACCACCTGGATTCAACCTCTGGCCCCATGGCTCACTCTGGCGGCCACTGCTAAGCTGCCTGCTGTCAGCCTCCACCATCCCAGATCTGCAGAGCAGAGAGAGTTTTGCTGCTTGACCTATCATAGCCATGCTCTGCCTACTAGGAGTGTGAAATAAATACCACCTAGAGCTTGTATTATTACCATTACCTGAAAATCAATCCACTCTTCACTTTTTGCTTTTTCAAACTACCCATCTGCCTGTACTGTCCTGTTTTTAACTCTTTTCCTCTCATTCAGTGAGGCCTCAGGAAACTCTTCTTGATTTTACTACCCTACCAATCACAGCAGATGCACCCTTTTGCTCTAAGAGCAGTATCAGTGTGCTTCCATCGAAGTGCCTGGCCTGTGCTGTTGTAACACAGGTATCAGCACTGCCTTCCTGTTTGTGCCATCTATAAATCCCTGAAGGCAGAGGGTGCGTGGTATTCATTTTTGTATCTGCAGTCAACATCCCATCGATGTTGCTAAAAGAAATAAAATGAAACCTTCACGTCTCAACGTTTAAGACCTTCTGTCATCAGATTCCAGCATACTTTTTCAACTTTATTTCTTGGTATCCCCTGCCAAGTGGAACTGATTTCTAACTCCATACTGAAGACTTTTTTCAACTTCCAGGAATCTGACCCCCGCTAACTGCATCAAGTCTGAACTTTCCCCTCCTCCTAGTTCCCTTCAAATTTCATTTTTCCTCTCATGAAGCCTACTCAGATTCAAATAAAATGATTTTCCATTCTCCCAGTGATTATGGGTTTTTTGTTTTCTGAGGCAGGGTCTCACTATGTAGTTCAGGCTGGCCTCGAACTCACAGCGATCCTCCAGCCTCAGCCTTCTGAGTGCTCAGAGTACAGGCATGGTGATTGTGGTATTTTTATTAGTAAGTTTTTTGTTGTTTTGTTTTGTAGCAGTACTGGAGATTTGACTCTGGGGGCAGGCACTAAGCTATATCCCAGCTCTTGGCTTTTTTGTTTTGTTTTTTTGAGATAGGATCTCACTGAGGTACCCTGATGGCCTTCAACTTTGTGACCCTCCTGCCCCAGTCTACCAAGCAGGTGCCACTGCACCCACTTACTAGTTCCTTTTAAAAGTCATTACCATATTCCACTTTATTTCTTTTGACTTTGTATGTATGTACGCATGTATTCTGCAGTACCACCAAGAATGAAACAAAATAAAATCAAAATTAAAGATAAAATAAACATGTACACAACATATCTTCTGCTTTTTTTTTTGGTCACTAATTAATAGTTTAATTCAGACTTTTGAAGAAACATGAGGGCTATATTTGTATTGAAAGGTAAGAATATTCAAAGGTGCTTATAGCACTGAAAGGCACAGGGAATTTTTCACAACTCGCTGTCTATTAAGTAAGAAGTTAAGCACAGGGAAGCTGGCTTGTTGGACGATACTTCTCACTCAGATGTCTGTGTCTCCCTTGTGTCCTGCATAGAGAACCTGGAGCTGGTGGCCTGGGCCTGCAGGAGGGACCTCACTGTGGAATCTACATGACTGCTTAGACGTTACCTTCCAGAAAGCATCCAGAGTGGGTTTTTAGTTCACAGGACTGTCTCCTTGCTGGTTGGTTTTGTTTAGAAGGAAGTAACACAAAATGAAAAGTTACGTCTGAACCTCCATTATTTGCCTTCATAACAAAAATCTCTCCTCTTTTTTTGCGCTTTCTTATTCTTACACAAATTAAAATTAAAAAGTTTGTGATGTTTTCAAACTCTGTAATGGTAAAAAGTGTAAGAATTTAAAGGTTGTTTTTTTTTTTTTTTTGTACTCCTGTAATTTTCCAAATGTATGCTTTAAAGTATTTAATCTAAAATCAAATGCACTGGGGATATAGCTCAGCAGCACAGAACCTGCCTGGCAAACACGAGGTCCTGAGTTTGATCCCTAGTACCAAAAAAATAAAATAAAATCATTTGCATCGACTGGATTTACAGAACAGGGAGAAAATAATCAGTTCATTAATTATTTGTACTGGACAAAGTTATTCCTGTCATTTTAATATGGCAAGCTTTAGTGTTTATAAAAGTATGATATTTTGTATTTTATAGAGGTGTTAAAGAAAGTATAAAATACTAGCTGCAGTTCATTTTATTTTAAAATGGAAATGTTCATTACTGAATCTTTTTCTCATCTTGTGATTATAACAAGCCTATGTTTGTTTTCCTTTGAGTTCTGTTTTATGCCCTTGATTATTTTGTATAGGTAAAAAGACTTGCTTAAAGTTAACTTGTAAAATGCAGTCATATCCAGGGATGTAGTTCAGCAGCACAGCACCTGCCTGGCAATCTCGAGGTCCTGAGTTTGATACCAAAAGAAAAGAAAAGGCAGTCACAGCTGGGCATGGTGGTACATGCCTGTAATTCCAGCACTTGGGAGGCTGAGGCAGGAAGATTTCCATGAGTTTGAGGGTAGCCTGGGCTAGATAGTAAGTTCAGGGCCAGCCTGAATGACATTGCAAGAACCTGTCTCAAAAAAACAAAATAAATAAATAAATAAAATAAAATGCGGTCACATAGATGAAGTCCTAACAGGGCAGCATCTACAGCTCATGGATGAATTCTCATCATTGTGAAAAGTTCTGTATCAGTGGTTATCAACCTGCAACGGTGAAAATGCAAATAAATTAGAATGAATTTAGGGGTATCATTTCCCAAAAATGAAAGTCTCCTGTCTGTATCTGAACTGTATCAATAACTACATATTCCCAAGTGGTTAGATATGTTAATTTGTATTTATTGAAAGGTTTAACTCAGTGCTACAAAATTTTAAGTTAATTTCAGGTAAGACATTTACAAATTCATATGTTTTCTTAAACAAATTTCTTTTACTTTGTGAACATTATAGAGTAAGGAAGTCATTAAACAATAGCCCTTATGTTGATAAAACTGAAGTTTGGGGTTCATATATAAGAATTTTAAGTAGAGAATCTGACACTTTCATGGAGTTTATCTCCCTATCAAAGTTTATTGAAAGTGCCTTTGCGGATGGAAAGTGCTTATATAGGGCACTGTGATTACACTGATACATAAAATGTCTTACCTCATTATTTAGGTATTACTGGGATAATCCTAATTTTTTTATGGTACTAGGGATTGAATCCAAGGCTTTCACACTGAGATATATCCTTACCTCTTTTTTTTAATTTTTTACTTTGAGACAGGATTTTGCTGTTGATAAACTGCCTAGGCTGGGCTCATACTTGAGATCCTCCTGCCTCAGCCTTAAAGCATGCTGGGATTATAGGCATGTGCTATCATGCCTGTCCCTAAATAATTTTCTGTAAAGATTATAATTCTACATGTGCATCTGAGTAGAAACATGGGTTATTGTCAACTATGTTTAAAACATGTACTCATTTGTATATTTTGTATAAAAAAACAATGCTTTATATAGTTCACATAATATTCAACACAAGGTCACACTTTTTAAAGTACAGAGTTGCAAAGATTTTTTTGTTTGTTTGTTTTGAGATCCAACTCAGGGCCTATGTATATGTTAGGCAAGCGCTCCACACTGAATTAAATTCCCAGCCCAGATTCTCATATTCATAGAAAAAGTTAAAAACCAGCCTTACTATTGCATAATTAAATCATTACAGATTTCTGCTCATACAACTTAAATAATTGTTCAATAAAACACTGGGTGATTTGAGTGTGTAGTTGTTCTTTTGTTTAAGAAATAGAGTGTTGAGTATAAAATGGCAGAAATGTTCCTGATTCTTGTCTCTATTTTCATTGTTTGCTCAATTCAAGATTATCACAGCAGTGGCAAAGAGAGTGAGGAGGGGAAGAGGGAATAAAAGTAATTAATACGTGATACTGTCTTAGTTACTTTCTTGTTGCTGAGACACACTACCCGACACACACAACTCTAAGGCAGAAAGTTTTACTTTAACTTATAGTTTGTAGAGCTTTTAGTCCATAGTTGGCTGGCTCCAAGGCAGTGCAGCATGGCAGAGAAGCAGCCCATGGCAAGGCCACAGGGCACAGAGCAGTGAGGGAAGGAGGAGGGAGACAGACCCTTCCAGGCCATGCCCAAAGTGAACCACCTCCTCCACCAGGCCTCACCTCCCAACATGACATTTAGCTATAAATACAGGGACGAGTGTTATGTGTCTACGATCTAATCACCTCCCAGAAGCCCCACCTAGGAGTGTATGAGGCTTTGGGGGACATCGAGATATAAACCACAACAAATACGTACATGTACCAATTCCCCAAGATGAATGTAATTTTTACGTTTTACAAACATACATACACCAATGAAAACGTCTACTCACTAGTGGCGTGTCCACTGCAAGTGGCAGAATAGGGCGGGGGGATTAGCTCAGTGGTTCCACCGCCTAACTCGCAAGTGCAAGGACCCGAGTTCAATCCCTAGTACCAAAAAAAAAAAAAAAAAGTGGCAGAACAGAACAAACAGGTCCTTGACAAGAGCTGTATCTTGTTCACCTGTGGAGGTACAAAAGGAAACCAGCAGTGTCTGTGTACTTTAAACACATTTTTATGACTTGGTATTCATTCTATGTGCACTTGCCACCATGTAAGTGGCTTTACAATATTCTTCAAAAGATTTTGTTTTTGTTTTTTGTTATGTAGCCCGGACTGCCCTCAAACTTAAAATTCACCTTACTCAGCCTCTTGAGTTCTGGACTACCTATGTGTGCCACTACCCCTAAATTTTTTGTTTTTGTTTTGGCTTTTCTGAGTCAGGGTCTCACTATGCAGTTCAGATTGGCCTTGAACTCTCAGTGATCCTCCTGCCTCAGCCTCCTGAGTGCTGGGATTACAGGCCTGTGCCACTACCCCAGGCTAAGTTTTCTATTTTTAATATAACATTTCCCAGGAGGATGTGTTAGTACCTTGGTTTCCACACCATCTTCTCCCAGTGAGATGCAAAGCTTGTGTTTCCTAATTCAGTTCTACTTATCTGAATATATAAACTCAATCATATCTAATAAATAAACAATCATAAATACCATGAAAAGGCTAACGGTAGTTCTTTACATTTGGTATTAGCTTTGACAAAAAAATAAATAAATAAAATAAAGAATTGAGCCAGGAATTTAGCTCTGTGGTTCGTCCACCCGCATTGCAAATGTAAGGTTCCTGGTTCAATCCCCGATACCAAAATAAAATAAAATAATATAAATAATTTCTAAAAATGAATGTTAGCTTCAAGAATAAAAAATTTTCTGTGCAGATGCTCTTCCCTCTGCTGGGATTACGGGTGGCTGCTATTATTCAGACTGATTTCTGAGGGTCTGTTACCAGAGAGGGAGGCTGGCAGCTCTTGCCCATAACTCCTGCTGCTGCTTGGGAAGCTGAGGCAGGAGGATCATAAATTAAAGCCAAGGCTAGGTAATTTAGTTAAACCCCGTCTTGAAGTACAAAAAATAAAATTAGAGGGCTGGGCATGCAGGCCCCTGCAGGGAGGGGAAGAGTGATGGGCAAGGACCAGCCAGACGAATCAGAGACCAAGATTACAAAAGCTCTCAGAGACTAACGGGGATGAAGAATATTCCTTGGCAGAGAAATTAGTTTATTCTGCTATAAACTTGGGTGTTTTTTTCATTTGTGGGGTTAGGATTGAATCAAGGGTCATACACACGCTGGGTAACTCCTAGACTCTGAATTAAATTTACAAAACAAGAATTCAGTGTATAACAATCAATTCTTGTTTTTGCTTTTTTGAGGCAGGAGCTCCCTCCATCAACCAGGCTGGCCAGGAAGTCATGATAGTTCTCCTGCCTCAACCTGCAGAGTACAGGGATCACAGGG